TGCCATATTAAACTAAACATCAGATGCAGCTTTTTGCAGACAACATGGTTTGTGAAGATCAAGTTTTTCATGTTTGTTTTAAACTTTATCCCCCCCCCCCCTTTTTTTTTTTAGTGGGTACTGGTGGTGATAATTCTGAAAGCATTTTACTTGCCATATTTTCACATGCTAACTTTCTGGGAACTCATAACTTTTAACAAATTTACATGTTAGTTTGAAATTTTGTTGTTTTCTGCAGTGTAGTTGTGCTTTTGCATCATTTGAAATAGGTGAAGATTTTTCTTCGCAAGGTCTGACATGCTTAAGATTCCAATACTCAGCTGACTTGCATCTGCGGGGAATGGAGGGGCGTGTGTTTATTATTATTCCTAGTTATGCATTATTTTCTAATCTGGTTTGAACACATTGTTAATACCCGTTAATGATGTCCCATACTAAGTGATTCAAAGGAGGTATAGGAATCAGGGCATCACCTGCCAACCAAAAGAGGAGGTGTCTAGCTAATGACTGGTTAACCAATAGTGGGTTTGGCTTTTCTTTTTCTCTCCTTCCTTATTAGATCTTCCCTCTTAACTGTATTGATACCAATTTATTACGTAGCCAGTGTAAAATATGTAGTGTACCTTTTCAATACAAATCTAATACTGCAATACAATCCCCCCTCCCCACTCCTTTCGTGGCATCCAAAAATGGTTAATAATTGCTTTAATATATTCCCGCATACAACAGGGCACAACACAGAAAATCTAAGGGAAAAGGAAATGGTGTCAGACTTCTGTATTAAATATACAGTAAGTTGAGAAAATGCAAATCCAGTGATGGTGCTTTTTTTTATGCTTAGTCCTGGTGTTTGTAATGTTATTTTCTTTTCAAAATACTGAGTTTGTCTATCAAGATTTTGGACTGAATACCGCTCAGGGTGCTGTTCTGTGTCAGCAGAATTCCCACCTGTTCAAGCAGGGCCACCTAGAGCTGGTTGCCCAGGATCATGTCCAGACAACTTTTAAACATCTCTAAGGATGGAGATGCTACAACCTCCCTGGACGACCCTTGTCAGTCCTCAGTCATCTTTGTGGTAAAAAAGTGTTTCCTGATGTTCAGACAGCACCTCCCGTGTTTCAGTTTGTGTCCATTGCCTCTAGTCCTGTGACTGGGCACCACTTAAGAAAGCCTGGCTCACTCTTCTCTCCTCCCTTCAGGTATTTACAGATGTTAATAAGAACCTGCCCAGGCCTTTTCTTCTCCAGGCTGAACAACCCTAGCCCTCTCAGACTTTCCTCATATGTGAGATGCTCCGGTCCCTTAATCATCTTCATGGCCCTTCATTGGACTCTCTCCAGTGTGTCCACGTCTCTCTTGTACTGAGGAGCCCAGAACTAGACACAGGAGTCTAGTGTGTGGCCTCACCAGTGCTGAGCAGAGGGGAAGGATCACCTACTTTCACCTGCTGGCAATACTTTGTCTAACGCAGCCCAGGATACCAGTAGCTTTCTTTGCAGCAAGGGCACATCGCTGGCTCATGTTCAACCTGGTGTTCACCAGGATCCCCAGATTGTTTTCTGCCAAGCTCCTTTCCATCTGGGTGGCCCCCAGCATATACTGGTGTGTGGAGTTGTTCCTTGCCAGGTGCAGGACCCCACATTTCTCTTTGCCGAACTTCCCAGGGTTCCTGCCAGCCCATTCTTCTAGCCTGTTGAGGTCGTTTGTGATGGCAGCACAACTCTCTGGTCTGTCACTCGCTCATCTAAAGTTTGTGTCATCAGCAAACTTGTTGAGGGTGTGCTCTGCTCCATCCTCCAGATCACTAATGATGATGTTGAACAGGACTGGACCCAGTATGGACCCCTGGGGTACACTGCTAGTTGCTGGCCTCCAACTAGACTTTGCGCCACTGATGACCACCTTCTTCTGGGCCTGGCTGTTCAGGCAGTTTTCAGTCCACCTCTGTCTGCTCATCTAGCCCCCTACAGCAACAACTTGTCTATGAGGATTTTATGGGAGACAGTATCAAAGGCCTTACTGATGTCCAAGTGGACACTATCCACTGCTCTCTCCTCATCTACCAGGCCAGTTATTTCATTGTAGAAGTTTATCAAATTGGTGAAGCATGACTTCCCCCTGGTGAAACCATGCTGACTACTCCATATGGTTTTCTTGTCCTTCGTGTGCCTGGAAATGGTTTCCAGGATTAGCTGGTCCATCACCTTCCCAGGGATCAAGGTGAGGCTGACCAGCCTGTAGTTCCCTGGGTCCTCCTTCCGGCCCTTCTTGAAGATAGGAGTGGCATTTGCTTTCCTCCAGTCTTCAGTCACTTCTCCTAGTTGCCATGATTGATCAAAGGTTATCGAAGGTGGCCTTGCAATGACATCTGCCAGGTCCCTCAGAACTCATGGGTGCATCCCATCAGGGCCCATGGGCTTATGTATGTCCAGTTTGCTTAAGTGTTCCCTGACCTGATCCTCTTCCACCACAGGTATGTCTTACTTGTTCCAGCCTTTCCCCCTGCTCTCTGACACCTGGGACTCCTGAAAGCCATTCTTGCTAGTAAAGACTGATGCAAAGGCAGCATCCAGTACCTCAGCCTTTTCTATGTCCTGTGTAACCAGGTCCCTCGTCTCATTCAGCTATGGACCCACATTATCCCGTCTTCCTTTTGTCACCTGTGTACTTACAGACTTCTTGTCTTTGACGTCCCTGGCCAGATTCAATTCCGTTTGGGCTATAGCTTTTCTAGCTTTGTCCCTGGGTGCTTGGACAATGTTTCTGTATTCCTCCCAGGTTACCTGTCCTTGCTTCTACCCTCTGTGCGTTTCTCTTTTGCGTCTGAGCTTGGACAGGAGCTCCTTGTTCATCCAGTCAGCCCTCCTGGCATTTTTGCCCGCCTTCCTATTCACTGAGATGGAAAACTCTTGAGCTTGGAGGAGCTGATCCTTGAATGCTAACCAGCTTGGAGGGGAGAGGGCCCCAAAAAAGGCTTTATCCCATGGGACACTTCCAAGCAGTTCTTGGAAAGGCCAAACCTGTTCTGAAGTCCAGGGTTGTAAGCTTGCATTTTACTCTCCTCCCTTCCCTCAGGACATTGAACTCCACCATCTCATGGTCACTGCAGCCAAGGCTGTGTTTGACCTTCACATCCTCAGTGAGCCCCTCCCTGCTTGGTGAGTAAGAGGTCCAGCAGAGTGCTGTTGGCTCCTCTAATTGCTTGGAGGAGGACATTGTTGTCAAAGTACTGCAGGATCCTCCAGGATTGCTTATGTCCTTTTGTGTTGTCCTTCCAGCAGATACCTGGGTGGTGGAAGTCCCCCATGAAGAGCAGGGCCTGCGAATGTGAGGCTGCTTCTATCTGTCTATAAAGGGCCTCATCTGCTTGTTCTTCCTGTTCAGGTGGTTATAGGAGACACCCACTATAATGTCACCTTCACCTGTCTTCTCTTTAATCCTAACCCAGAAGTTCTCAGCTGGCTCCTCATCCATCCCCAGGCAGAGCGCCATGCATTCCAGCTGCTCTCTCACATAAAGGGAATGGATTTTTGGTTTTGTTAATTACTATTTTCATATAGATTGGTTTTAGGTTGCTGTGGGGAAAATGGGACAGTCCCAGGGCGCACATCATAAGAGATGACTATACAATACAGCTTCATAAAAATCAAATGTACTAATTCTGTGCCAAAACCTCTTTTTTTGTTTTCTTTTTCTTGTTTTCTTTTTTTCCTGAGCTCTATGAATTATTCTTCACTAATCCCAGTGCAAGAATAATTTCAAGGTAGATAAATTACATGTTAATCAAATAATGGATTGATGATGCTCTACTAGTCTTCTGAACTGTAAAGTATTTGAGAAATTTTAAAAATACATATGCAGAACATATTTTGATTTATTCTGGTCGGATACTTTTTTTCATCAGCTCTTTCTATTTAAAGACTGCTTAACTACCATTACCAGTAGTGTCAAGTAATATTTTTATATATTTAAAAATTTTGCTTTTGTGTTCAGTTTGATATGTTTTTCATGTATTTTGTAAGCACTTGTGCAGCCAGCTTTTCTGACCTTTTTGTTTATCTTATGTATCGTGAATTTTTATTGGTTAGGGTTATTGTATGTGTTATTGCATACATGTAGGTGATCTTTGCTTGACTATAATGTTTAATTCTTTTAAAAATTTTCTTCTAATTAATATTCTTAATAGTCCTTTTAATAGTCTGTGAAAGGAAACCTGAGCAATAGTGTAGTTTTCAATCATCTTCCCAATGGTATAAAAATATGAACTGAACAAGTTACTCAATTTGCATGCACTTAGGGGAATTTTCTTATGAAATATTCCGGTGTTTTGTCTTGGCATGAAAAGCATTCCAGAAATGTAAAATTGGAGTGGAGAATAGTTTCTGGAGAGGGAAAGGACCATTGTTAGCTTAATGTTGTTTCCATAGATCCCACAGGCAAATCTGTTTTGACTTGTTGAATGTTTTTGTGTAGAATTATAAAAGTAACATGTTTTAGCAATCAAAACTAAGAAACTGATGAGTTGTGTAGAAAGTGTGACTCAAATAGAGGCCTGTGCACACAGGAATAGATGTCAGGAAAGCAAGTTGAAGAAGCTCAGTGGAAATCTGAAGTCTGTGCTTCCATGAAAACTCATTATTTGCATCTGCTATAAACTTTGCCAAGTAAATTCTGTTTAACAAAATCTTATAAAGAATCCTTTGAAAAGTATGAAGTTGCGGCTCTATGTACAAATTATATAAGAAACAAGAATTGCCCTAGAATGAGTCATACTATGATTGACAATGATTGATTGCAGGCCTTTTTGCTGTATTACACATTTTTTTAGCTCAAATCAGAATTTCTTGTTGATGTGTTAGCACAAATACATGAGATGTTTACATGAAAATATCTTATAGAATTCCATATGGCAAAAATTAACTTGTTACTTTAGGAGACTCCTGGTAATAAAAAATGATGTATTGGCTATTTATTTAGTGTTTTTATTTCATTTTGCCAGGTACCAAGTGGAAGATGAGTCCTCTCACTTGGATGAAATGCCACTAATGATGTCAGAAGAAGGCTTTGAAAATGATGAGAGTGATTACCATACTCTACCAAGAGCCAGAATTTCTCAGAGAAGAAGAGGCTTAGAATGGTTTATCTGTGGTGGCTGGAAGTTCCTTTGCACTAGGTTTGTTGCATACCAGTACTTTTTATTAAACTATTAAATGAATTAAGTAAATAGTAACTGTGCATTGTGTGATATGTGCAGAGTACAGGAACACAATAATTTGCTTGTCATGCACCTTCTGATTGCTTTGCCTGTATTTTCCCTACTAGGACGTTACAAGCCATTAATAAAAAAGTTCTGAAGAGCTGCTGCTGTGTACTTCTCCTGTCTGCTTTCCTGACTTGCAAGAAAAAGAGAGGCTTTTAAGAGAGGTCTCGTACTAGTCTGAGGTCCATAATATGGCATATAAGCCTGGTCCTCAGTTCTACTCAAAACCACGTTGGTGTAGAGGGGTTAAAACTTTCTTTTACTTCTGAGGGCATTAGTGTGTTAAGTTGACGATACACAAATTTTACTGATGTGACTGAAAAGAAAAAGCAAATTCATTAATTAATGATCAGTTATCACTTCAACTTTAAGGGTTAAAAAATACATGGAACCTGTGGCCTTGGTGTGAATTACAGCTGGAATTAGCTCCTGTGATATGTTTCTTATTTAGAAACTTTCTGTGCTAAACTCTGCTGTATGCAGTTGCCTTGGAAGAGTGACTTTCTGATGAATTGCTAGCACATTTCTAAATACAGAAATTAATATTAGGATGATTAAGAATCATGGGGTGTTTTTATCTTGAATGAAAAATCTGAGAATCAGTCAAGTGAAGTGAGTAGAGCGTTTTCAGTGAACTTGAATGAGGAATGCTTTTTTGGGCAGATGGTTTTAGAATTTATTTGGATGGAAGTCTTCACAGGTGGTTTTCATGGCACTTAATAAATTCCAAGAGGCCTGATACTCTTGTTTTACCTAAGTAAAGCTGTATTTGTGCACCTTTAATAATTAATAATTTTGTTATACAGCTTTACTATTTGCAGAAAAAATATGATTTGTGTCTTTTTTCTATAATGATACAACAGCATCCTATTGGATTATTGGATTAAAAACTTCATGGAGTATTAATTTTATTATAGGGAATAAGTGTTTGGAAAGTAGCAGGAAGTAAGGTAGAGGTTACAGAAGCAGCATTTCTATATGTAAATGATTTTTGGAAGCAATGTTTCTGTTACAGAACTACTATTGTAGATTTTAAAAAACATTTTTAAGTATTTAAAGAGGCTGTTAATCTTTTGGACATATCTTAAAATTGAGATACCTTTCAAACAATATACTTTAGGTGAGTTCAGGTCTTTAAGTATTAGTGAGTATTAGTTACTGTGATTACATTCCTGTAAGTTTCATGAAAACAGGTAGACCAGTAAAGACTGCACCCTGCATTTGGATAGAAGCGGGCAATTGCAAGATGAGTTTATGTTGGAACTAATTAACACTCATAAGAGAATGTCACAAGAAAGTTTCATTAATGCTGAAGATCGCAAAATTTCATGTTCTTGCTTGCTTTTTAAAATTGATAGGGACATCTTGGCTTTAAGTGGAGCTCAAGCCTAGAAACTTTCAAACTTATTAGAACTTATTAATGAAAATACTTGAGCCATATTTGTGATGGATTTTTGAGAATGAAAAGAGCAAGGAAATTGCATTATGGATTCGTTATTTTGCTATGTCTTATACATATATTACTGCTAATCTAGGTGTGTAAAAGAAAAGCCCTCACTAAGAAAGAGGCCTTAGAGGGGTATGACTTCTGCTTTGCTATTTCCTCAGCTGAATTTGGATACAATAAAGAGTCAATTCAGTCTTGTATTTATACCTAGAGGCATTTTATTCCCATTAGTGTTTTCTATAACAGAACATCATAGCAGATAATTTCCATTTTTCACAGAAGAAATAAAATCTCTATTTAAAAAAAAAAAAATAACCCCCAGATCCTAGCAGAAGCTTGAAATTTCAGTAGGATATTAGCAGGTGGAGGATACTCCCACAAGAAAGGTGCAGACATCTGCTTGGATGAGATGGGGAAAATCAGCTGGAAGGAAGGTGAATCCCATGGTATCTTATCTACTGGTCCAGTCAGGCTGGACAAAACCTCAGCTTGGGTGAGCACTTCTGAGTGAGTATGTAAATACCCATTACAGTGATAGGGAGGTTTTGTCTGGGCTGAGAGCACCATTGAGGCTTTGTTATTGGTAAAAGTCAGGGATGTGCAGTCAGTGTTAATTTACTCTTTTTGGTGGTTTCTCATAATAAAACTTCATGATTTTTTTGCTGGGGCCCACAGAGTACTAGAGTTTTTGAAATGCCTATTTGCAGTTCATAAAGTTGCCTAGGATTGTGCAAAAGATCATACAGGAAACCTGGAGGCAACTGCATTGTCATACATGCAGTTATTGCTTACACTGTAGTAGAATGAGTTACACTGTTTATGTGGTGTAAAGTATCAGTTTAGGATACAATTGGGTGTTGGTGCCTTCACACTTGAAATGGAGAGGAACATGTGAGAAAACAATTTTCATGTGTGTTGATGGTGGATTATACATGCTATACAAACAACTGAAACTTCTTTCCAGAAGGCAAACTGCATTCTTTTAAGTGTAGTGTGACATTAAATATAACATAGCAGTCTGAAACCTGTTCAGTTGAACAGAATTTAAAATTTCACCCTGTCTTATGGAAATTAATATCTTGTACCTGAGACTGGGTGAGGTTGAAATCTCAACTTCCACATCCAGAATTCCCTTTTGTGCTTTAAACTAAGTTGTAAATTTTTCAAAGCTGTGACAGAAAGATGAACACAATAAAAGACTAGGCATTTGTCTGGACCCAAGCTCAGGGGGCCCCGATTTCTTTTGGGTTCTCGGTGGAAGTCTTGTGTTTGTGTTCAAAATCATTTTACTTGTTGCAGACAAACAAACAAAACCCTCCATACCCACTAGGTTTTTCTTGTCTGTCTTGCATTGTTAGGATTAATCTCACTTTTGTGAGAGGAAGTTTTCCATCATTTACTTTGCAGCTCTAGAATTTTATATTCTATAGATTTTTGTTGCTACATCACAAACTGTTACTGTTTAGATGAAAAAGTTTCACCCTTTTGGCAGGAGTAAATATGGAAGGTTTGACAAAGTTCACTGTACATTAAAATTGATTTTGTAAAAATCCTTTATTCAGCTTTCAACTTCTGTTTAGACAATAGACTTGTTGATTGGAACTGAATGGCGTGTACTTTATTTGCAAATCTGCAGCTCTTTAAACAGTTTCTACATTTGCAGGAAAAAAAATCATAATTAAATCAAATGTTGTCTTTGATTTTGAACAAACTGAAGACTTAATTCAATCAATGTAACTTTTAACTTCAGAAACTGCTTATTTCTTGCTTTCATAGCACAGTTAAAAGAAAACTTTGTGATATAGCAGCTGTTTTGTGGCTGTAATCATTTCCCCTTTAACTTACAAATTCTCTTCAAGCTTGTGAAATTATAATGCACATAGATCAATACTCTGGAGTTCTTTGGGCTGGATTGATTTCTTTCTCATGAGATTTACATTCCACTTGTTATCAAAAAACACTTTGTCCCTATGAAAATGGTGCCATTGAATGGCATTTCCATATGAAGTGAAGGGGATATCAAATGCTCGGATTAATTTGGGCTCTAAGATGGCCTGTACGCTTTCAATTAATCTGCAACGCATTTGTTATGCAGAAGCATGGGAAAATGCTGATCTTTTAAGAATGACATGACCACTGTGTTGCTTTTGGCCTGATTACTGAAGCTACCTGTTGAGTACAATAATTACAGTATGTTTTCTTTGCAGAACTAGTTTCTGCTACTTAAAACCTAATAAGGAAAAGCTGACCCTTGCAGACAATATACAGCTTTTATATTATCTTTCCATTCTGATGAAAATGCTGTTTTGTGAAAGATACTGGCAGTTAAGCTTGTAGGATAAAAGTAATGAAAAGAGAAAATAAAAAAAGCCTTTATTATTAGAGCTGCAGAGTCAGTTGAGACTTTTACTTTAGCTTTTGACTTGGAGAGATATGCTCCATTTATGAAAAAGTTAAGGGTTCTTATTTAACAACTACTCCAGTTTTTTTAAATACGGCATCAGTTACTAATATGAAGAGTGTGGTTATTGTTCCTATACATAAAAACACATTAGGAAGCAGGTTGGTAAAAAGTCATTTAATAGATATAACTTAAAGTTCTTTTATCAATTAGTTAATTTCTTCATATATACAATCTGTTGTGTTGATATAGGCAACATGGCTTATAGCTAGCTTAAGAAAAAAAGCTTTCTGTGCATGTGTTGAATTTTCTAGGCAAGGGCATTTGAAGTAAATGCTTAAATCAATAAACAAGAATGTGATTTTTAATTGCTGAATCCATAGCATAAAGTGTGGCTTTACATTAAAGATTTCAGGAAAATCTGAAGTGTGTCTTGATCATGCTATATCTTACGTTATGTTTTTAGGATATTTGAAGCTCGGAGAATGCTATTCTGGTTTATCTCCTGATGTTTGCTTCACACAAATTCAGTGGGTACAAAAGCGCATGAAAGGGTCCATACCCTTGCACAAAAATAGTTTCTGTATTGGGGAATGTTAATTTGAGAACAGGTTAAGTATGTGTTGGGTGTTGATAATCTGAGTTTCAGAAGTATTGGGTAGACTTCATTGTTCTTAAAAATCTGAATTAATGTAAATTGATTAGGATTTCTGAGGCCAGCACGTCCACCTCTTATTCTTCCTGTGATATAACAGTGATTACTGCTGAGACTGTAATGGCAGAATCTAACTGATTTTTACTTCTAAGGTAGTAAAACTCATCTGCACCATTATGATACTGATTTGGGCATAACCTGTAATATTTCCATCATCTGAGTTTTCTTGTGTCTGAGAACTTCAGTGTTGTTAGCTCTGTGTCAGTCAAATCCCTTTTATCAAAGGTATCACAGTTGTTTCCCAGTCGGACATCATTCTTGTGTCTGTACTTTTTGGCGTTTGCTAAACTAATGGTCATTATGGCATCTCTTTCAGCTTCTCTGTTGATCTGTAATGGAAAAAGTAGTTTCAAGAATGGGAAGCTCTGTGGTGAGGAAGGCAATATAATTCAGTTACTTTAGTCAAATGTTTAATTTTTGCAATAGAAAAGTCCTCAGTGTCTGAAGAAATTATTCTACAAAAGACGCTGTGCCTAGTCAAATGTTTAGTCTGTTTATGGTTTAAATTCAAAAACCGATTTAAGCAATGCAGGATTCCAAAGGCTGTTGGGAAATTTCTGTCTGTGGGCTTGTAGACAGAAGCTGTCATGCTTGTTTGCTTTCCCTGGAAAAAATTATTTTCCTTGGAACTCATGTGCTACAGATCTGTCTCCACACTTCTTACTATACAGCTAAGCTGTTTCTTCCATTTGTATTGTCCTCGCCACCCCCCCCTGCCTTGGAAACTAACACATTTAAAGTGTTAATTCCTTGAGCAGTTTTATCAAGTGTAAATCCAAGCTAGCACTGAGTGGAATCGTTGCACCTTCTCCTGCCAGCATGTAGCCTGTGTAGCTTCAACTATTTTTACACATTTACAGATTCAAGAATCAGGGGTGGATCTACCAGAAAATAGTCCCCTTTTTATTCTGCGTTAGTTTACAGCTGGATCAATTTGTGGGTCTGATTTACCCGTGCAGTTGCATGAGTAGTTGTGTCAGCACAAGGGAAGGGGCAAGAATCCACACCTTTGTTATGGGAGGAGGGTGGTACTAGCTGTTTCAGCAGCAGCAGGATAGGTTCACAGCTGTTAAACTGATTGTGGAACCATGACATAGAAAGACTGCTGTTCATTTTGCTTTTAAAGAAAAATTTAAGTAATGATCAAGGTAACTTGATTTTTCTGACTTGTATGTTACTAAATAACAGGGCTGAATTTCAAACCTTGAACTAATCCAGTTTTTACGATGGAATGATTCTTTGTTACTGTTTAAAGTGATGGGAAAAAGTTGCTGAATGGGCTTGTATTTGTAACAAAAATAAAAGGCATGTTTACATAGAATCCAACCAAATTGATGTCCATCCCACAGTGAAAGTTTCGGGGAGGAAATCTTAAGAATCCAGCATTTTAAATTTAAGTGTTTTAAATGTCAGCTTGTGAGTATTGGTGTAGTGGCATTTCTATAATGAAGTGAATGTTGCTTTGAATGATTTTACTATTGCATAACTTCTAGTTTTTTTTAAAAAAAGCCTGCAACTTTGAATTCCATTTGTTCTTTGGCAAAATTACTTTATAATAGGCTTGGGATAATGTAGGCTACAGACAAGAACATTTTAAGTGGGACTGTGGCGATGGAAGCTAACAGCATTTCTTCCCTGCATATTTGTGTATACTGTGATTCTGTAATTGTGGAAAAACAGAATAAGAAAGGACCTTAAAAGGTTGTCCAGTCAATTCCTTGCCTGCACAGGATGAATTACACCTGTCGCTTATGTCTGATCTAACCAGATCTTTGAGACCTGCAGTGGTAGCAATTCCAGCCTCCCTAAGTGTTTCTTTCCACCCTGGTTGTTAGAAGCATTTACTCAATGTCTGTCCCCCCCGCTTCCTTATTTGCCACAGTTGAAGTCCACCATTACTTAATCATGGTGGACCTAGAGAATAATTGTCCCTCTCCTCTTTGCAGCTGTTTCTTACATACTTGAAACGATATTAGGTCCACACTCAGCCTTCTGTGAACAACTCTCTTTCTTTCGGTGTATCTAGTAGACAAGCCTACCCTGCTTTCTAGACCTGTAATTGTTTTGTTGCTCTTGTGTGTGGTCTTTGTTTTCCCAGTAGCCCTGTTTTTTGAATACCAAATTTCAACATGGTATTGTAAGCCAAATGAGATCTTGCTAGCACTGGACTACGAAAAAGGAATACATTCATGACTTGCTAGCAATATGCCTGTCCACACTGACCAGATATGCTGGTTTTTTGCGCATGTATATCGTATATCATTCTTATGCAGTAACTGAGTCCTCTTCTGAGCTGCTGTCTGCTAACTCTTTTCCAATTCTGCGTTTGCGTAGTTGATTATTTCTGTGTAAATGTACTATGTTGCGCTTTTGCCTGTTTACCTGTGTTCTATTTCTTCCAAGTGGTTTTTCCAATCTGTCAAGACCAATTTGAATTCTAATCTCCTTTTTGCATGTACTGCTGTCTCTTCTAGCTTTTTGTTTTCTGAAAAATGACATATTCAATAGTCAATTACCTAGTAAGTTCTAGATAAAGCTTTGCAGAACTTCACTGAAATTATTTTGGTTTTATAACAAGCTACTCTGCAATTATGATTTTTCCAACTGTGTCAGTTCCAAGAATATGTTCCTTTACTTTCCTTACGAGAAATATCTTGAGAGCTAGGTTTTATTAGAGACATAGAATCATAGAATAATTTGGGTTGGAAGGGATCTTTAAAGATCATCTAGTCCAACCTCCTCAGCCATGGACAGGGACACCTTCCACTAGATCGGGTGCTCAAAGTCCCAGGAGTCAAGAGAGGACATGTATTCTCAAGCTGTAGTGCATCTGGTTCTTTACGGAGGGAAATTATTTCCATTTTAGAGGTTGCTCTGACATATCAGTGTTGGTTATGACTTTCTGTTTTCTTTCAGGTGTGTACAAATACATACAAGTAGGTTGACTCTTCAGAAGTCATCCAGGGAAACAATGCTTAGGTGACTGGATCATAACTTTCCCCTCCTGTTCTCAGCAAAATCCTTTCTGTTGGTTTGAATACAATTTAGAAGAGCTTCCTAGTGGTTACTTTTTTTTTTTCCTGCATCAAAAATATTGTCAGTAGATTAAAAAACCTCACTAGAAAACATGTCACTTTCCTTCATGTTCAACTTCACCTGCTGATGTAGCTGAAATCCACTGTGACCAGTTAGGTCAGTGCTTTGGCTGCAGTAGGTACTCACAGAAGGCCTGTCTGCTCAGTGTTCTGATTTTGGCTGGAATAGAGTTAATTTACTTTCTAGTAGCTGGTACAGTGTTATGTCTTGGGTTCAGTATGAGAAGAATGTTGATAACACACTGATGTTTTCAGTTGTTGCTAAATTGTGTTTAGACCAAGTCAAGGATTTTTCAGCTTTTCCTGCCCAGCCAGCGAGAAGGCTGGAGGGGCACAAGAAGTTGGGAGGGGACACAGCCAGGACAGCTGACCCAAACTGGCCAAAGGGGTATTCCAGACCATGTGATGTCATGCCCAGTATAGAAGCTGGGGGGAGTTGGCCTGGGGGGATGGCTGTTTGGGAACTAACTGAGCATCGCTTGGTGGGTGGTGAGCAATTGCTTTGTGCATCACTTGTATATTCCAATCATTATTATTATTGTCATTTTATTATTGTTATTATCATTATTACGGTTTCCTTCCTTTCTGTCCTATTAAACCGTTGTTATCTCAACCCACGAGTTTTACTTTTTTTCCCCCCACAATTCTTTCTCCCATCCCACTGGGTGGGGGGAATTGAGCGGCTGCGTGCTGCTTAGTTGCTGGCTGGGGTTAAACCACGACACTCAGTCTTCCCGATTCACTTGCCTAAAACAGTCTCCCAATGTGATTAAGGCACCTCCCCCCAGTATTAAAAAAAATGCAGAGAAATTCTCCTTTAACATATGGGATTGTAAAACAAGTATATAGAGCGTATGGCAAACCCGCTTTTCTTTCCACGCTACCGGTTCTTTCCAAACCATCTGTACTCATCTGCGTTAATAATCTGCCCCTGTTGGCTAGTCCTAGCAAGTCTTAGGCTGATAATATTGTGTGAGTTTGTTTGTTTCTTGTTTTACTGTTGTTAGTAAATAGTCTGCTGAGCCTCAGTGGCATCATTGTGTTTGCCAGCCTTTTGTTCCTCCTACAGTGTGATCTCCTTCCATCATTCCTGTGTCCTTGTCCAAATTCCAGTTGTTTAAAGGTGGCTGTGAGCTCTTCCTGTATATCTCACTGCTTATTGTTTAAACCTTCTTCAGTAGATTTGTAAGCTCGTTAGGCAAGGATGCTTCTCCTTTCTCCTGTGAAGTTCACCATTGCAGATCATTGTGTGATCTGCATTTACATTGTGGGGTTTTGGTTTGGTTGTAGTTTTTTTTGGTTTGTTTGTTTGTTTGTTTTTTTTTTTTAAACTTTGACAGCATGGCGTTAGGTTTGCTTCCCTTCTATAGGCAGTCTTATGGAGGAAATTAAGATTTGCAAAATATGTGGAAATTGTATACAAAGCTGTTGAATTTTTCCTGATTTTATCTGACAGAAGCCTTATTTCCTCATGAGTTAATTATTTAATGGTGTGGGAATTTAGCCACTGCTAATGCAGACTTGTATTAACTAGAAGTTTTTGAACCTCTGTCAGGGCAAGGTGTAGTGAAACTTGTCATTATTTTATTGGGATTTCCTGTAAAGAATGTGCCAAGTGTTTATATATTGCATGTATCTGAATGAGTTGAGTACTGTGTAATTGCCCTAAACATTACAAGTCAACATCATGCTTGTTTATTTAGATGAGGCAAAAATTTTTAAGCCTGTTTTTCTTGGGTATTTGCCTTTAGGGTTCCAGGTTTGGAAATAGTAATCACATACAGTAAACTTTTAGTTTTAAAGTAAACAATTGTTTTTCTTTTCAGTTGTTCTGATTGGCTCATAAACATTTGCCGAAGAAAGAAAGAGCTGAAGGCTCGCACAGTGTGGCTTGGGTGTCCTGAAAAGTGTGAAGAAAAATACCCCAAAAATGCCATAAAAAATCAAAAATACAACGTCTTTACCTTTATACCTGGGGTAAGGCTATTAACCATTTTTTTGGTGTTGGGCTGACTATATGTTCTGTAGTGGTTTCTGATGGTTCTGCAAAAAGATAATTTTATTTTCACAGATTCTTCTTTTTCTTGTTATATTTATCTTGATGTCTTCAATTAAAATTCACCACTGAGAGCAAGGCTGCTTTTTTTCTAAATTGTTTTCTTTTCAAAGGGATATTTACTAAAGAAGCACAGTGTGTATGATTGAGTGGTTGGAATTCAGTGAAGCTTTAGAAATCTGAGATGGGTTTCCTTGCACTTTTCTATTCACCATCAGAAATTTGTAATCCTCATTTTAAAACAGAAGCATTTCTACACAGTCAGTGTGAAAATACTGTAAAGCACTGACTTCACTTGAGAAATAAATAGTTGAAAATCACAATGTACTCCCATAGATATTTTCTCATACTCCCTGCCATTGAAAATGTAATGAATAATGTATTCTGAAACAGGCAACTCGTTAAAGGACAAAACCAACCCACCTCTTCAATTTATAGGACAACAAGTAAGGCCTAGTTTAGTAAGTTAGTACTTTTCAGAGGTGTGTTTCCTATTGCAGTTTTAAAAATAGTGATGTCATTTTGGTTTTGAATGCAATTCTTCAGACAATACTTTTATTGTGGAGTGGAAAGGGTTTTTGTCACTTTTTTTTCTAAGAAGCCATATTGCGTCTTAATTTAAATTTTTTGCCTATAATGTTCACAGTGTATATGAAGACAAAAGAGACATTACAGTTTTGTCTAGTTCATAGTTTAAAAAAAAAGTTATAATGAAATATAGCAATAGAGAAGACAACTTTTGAAGCTTCAGTAGTTAAAACATAAAAATGTATGCTGCTGTGATATTACAAATTTTACTAATACACTTCTACTCATACTTCTACTAATACAGTCCAAGAGTCCTGTGTCCTGTTTCAAAAACTGAATGTCTTCTACATTTGAATATAGACATGCTTTGTCTTAAATTTTTCATTTAAGTGATCATGCTGGTTTATAAGAGTATTGATTGTATTCTTCTGGCCTCTTTGGTCCAATGACTGGCAGGTGCTTTCTAATACATTTCTTTATTAAAACAGAAAAAATTAATGGCTTTGTAATTAAGACTGATCTCCTGTCAAAGAAATAAAATGTCACTTATCACAGGCGGATAAAATATTCTCATCTCTATTGAACAAAGTAAATGTTTTCTTCCGAAGTTTAAATTATTAAATACACTGAAATTGGCTAAGCCACATATGCTTTCCTAAAGGTCACAAAATTCATTAAGCATATAGTAAACCATTGATTATTGTGACTAGAAATCTGCAGTGTAGATTACAAATCCTAAACTAGATTCACATTTACTATAGGGCCCAGCCATAGCTTGCGATTACCTGTTGAGAGTGTTTGTTCTTTTTTTAATCTTTTGAAAGTCTTGGTTTTTTACAGTATAGGCAGAATCAGATTTTTTTTATTTTGGTGGTAGTATTTGGAAACTCAGTAGTAACTTCAAAATGAGGTGAGATCCCAAACATAAAGCCCAATAGTTAGTGAAAATAAAATGTTTCTAAATTTTAATTTTAGACATAAATCAACACTTTTCATTTTTTAGAAATACTGTGTAGCTGGTTTTTTTTATGCTGTTCCACTAAAAGTAATTTGTAGGGAAGATAGTTGTGTTGGTTCCAAATCCATAAATGTGACTAAGTCATAAATATTGACTCCAGTGTTTTACCCTGGTTGAAATTTTCATCATGTGAGGTTTTGTCTTCTGTTTAGAGTTGTATCTTTTTTTTAACATTGCAGCTGGCAGTGGGTAATATTCAATTATTTCATATCAAAATGCAAGCTTAAAATAACGTTTAGGTCAACAGAATTTTACTTACTGGCTAAAAGAGCTATAACATTTCCAAACTATCTAATTTCCTAATGTTCATATACAATACTTTACTGCTTTTACCTTTACACCAGGTTGTTCAATTTCTGTTTATTATTTCATATACATCTTGGTATAGCTGCTTAGGAGTTTTGTGTAAATTTCCATGAAGACTGTCTTCTGTGATACCTCTCCTGAGCTTCAAAGCAGTAGTCTGGGTTTTTTTTTTTGGGGGGGGGGGGGTTGGTTTGTTTTTTTTTTTTAAATCAGTTTTATGTAACTGGAGACTTTTCAGTTTGCTTAACTAGATTGAAGTGTTTAGCTTTGTATTGAATGAACTGTCACTGGTATGCTGGGATTCAAAAGTTTTGTAGGACGGTGCTTATTAACTCCCACCTTCACCTGCAAGATGGGCGCTCTTGCAGATCTGCACCTCCCCAAGTACTCAGTGGACTTTTCTTTGACCTAGTATATCAAGTCTTTGTAAACAGTTAAACATACCGCTAGAAATGAGCATATGAACTTCATCAGTATTAACACAAGGTACAGGTTCAAGCTGAAATAGTTTCATTTTGGAAGAATGCTCTGACTTTCCCTGCAACTTCAAATTTGACTTTTTAGGCTTAGGCTTTACAGTTTTGTTGGTAAATAGTGGAATAGAATTCCATGCTATTGAAAAAATCTTCTGACTTGATGCTGTTTAGGTAGCCTTTAGCTGAACAGTAATGTAGCACTCTTGCAAGAAACTGGCAATTTTGAGGTACTGCTACTTTGTTGTGCCTACCAGAAAGACACTTTGAAACAAACTTGCCTGAATATTTTTTCCTAGGGCATAGGCTTTTACATAATTGAGTAATAATGTTGGACTGATAACAGCAATAAATACCTGTCCAATAATGTTGATTTTCATGCAGAAGTCATTGTAATATTAACTGCATTGTACGATTAAAAGATGGAGACACTCTTTAAATCTGGCTTTTTGATCTATTTTGAATCTTTTAGCTTTGAAACAGTTGATTATCCATTTTCTCAAGTCTCAGTGTTCCAAGTTGAGTACCCACTTCTGATCATCCTGCTGGAGGTGGCATGTTATCCTGGCCTACTAAAGAAAGATGTGAAGTCTTTGAAGATTCAAAACTCTATAAAATGCATAATGTTCTTAGCATTGTAATTATAACTAAAGCAATGTTGAGAACATGTGTTTGCTGAACTGGTGCCTTTAATTACCAAAGGAATGTCTGCATCTGTCGTTCCTTTGGAATATGGGACAATGTATTCTGTGATAAGGTGACTGTGTCTTCACTTGACACTTGGACAATTATCTTGGAGTTTAGACCAAATCTTTGATTTATTAATAAAAATATCTTATGTACTAATACTTAATGCAAAATAATCTTTTGAGAAATCTAATGCTGAGCCTTTCTTCTAGATTACCTCAAAAGCCGATGTTGTTGTTCTGTTACAAATTTTCTGTAGTTTAAAATTTCTGAAAACTTAAACTGTGGTTGCTTTTGTAAAAAGCTTGTCTTCCTATGGAAACTGAAGGATACTGCCTTATTCTGAGATTTCCACATGATAGCCATTTGGAAAGAGAGCAGTGTCGCTTAGCCTTACTTGCAGGATCTTTTCTGTAGTGTTCATTTCATCTTCCTAAACAACATTTATTCTTGAACATTGAGTAGTTTTGCTATTTTTAAGACCAGTGGGAGATGGTAATTTTGAAGGACTGCGTCTGACTTGATGGTAGCCTTTGTCCCTTTGAGAACAAAAGGACTTCAGAAAGAAGGCAGAAGAGTTGTAGAGCTTGCAGCCCTGCAGGAGGAGACACTTCAGTGGCTGTGTTGAGGAGAGAGCATGCTGAGGGACTTTGAACAAAAGTAGCAAGGAGTTCATGTATACTGGTTTCTGTATGTGCTCCTGACAGGGCTGAAGTCTTAGGGTATTCTCACAGTGACGCAGAACAGCATGGTATAGCCTACTCAGTTTTGTTACTCTCTAGAAGTTCCGATGACAAAGACTAGAATAATATTCTTGTAAATGGTTTCTGTTCATTTGATGCCGATGGGTTTTTTTAATTGTTATTATTTTAAGGCCAGGATAAGAAAATTTTTAAGACAAAAAGACGTCATGAGACAGATAAAATAGAATTTAAGTATTGGTACTTAGGGAAAAATTAAGCACTTTTAGTGCTGTATTTTTAGGAAGAAAAGATTTAGCAGTTAAAAATGAAAACTTAATGTAAGCAATGAAAGCTCAGATACAAACTTACTTTGCTTTTTTTATTGATAATGTAAAAAAAATTTTTCAAAAACTGTTTTAACTCATAAACAAAGGTAACTATTTTGGACATAAAATAATTGCAAGATGCTTCTACAAGCATCTGAATTCTGTTTACTGTTAAAATTTCAGAGTAAATCTTTGTACAGTGATCTTGATTAATATTTGTAAAGATTTGATGAGTTCGCATAGTCCAGTTTTGAAAATACCAAAATTGCTTTTCTGGAGTGAAGAGAGGCATTAATATCAAAGGATTTTTCTCAACAAAAATAGCAGTATAATATTAAAATAACTTATAGTGCATGTAGTGGTTGGTGATGATATATAGCGTATTGTGCTATATAGTGCTGTAATAGTACCATATATAATAGTATGCCATATAATGGTTTTATATCTACTGTTACGAAAAAGTGAATTTTATGTACATTATGGGTACAAATTTTAAGGCATTTATCTATTTTGTGTTTTTCATTTTAGGTTTTATATGAACAGTTCAAGTTTTTCTTGAATCTCTATTTTCTCGTCGTGTCCTGCTCACAGTTTGTACCAGCATTGAAAATAGGCTACCTGTACACATACTGGGCTCCTCTGGTAAACAGAAAAATATTATTAACTAGAAGTTTTGGTTTTTTAACTTCAGATGAAAAGTTCATGTATATGTACATTTCATAAACTTGTACCTGGTAAACTACAGTGATTAAAGTATGTAACAGAAGTAAAATGCTTCTTTGAAATTGCAGTATTTTGCAGCAGGTACTCCAGAAGCTGTTGTTCGATAGCCCTCCCCTCCACCTGCCTACCACACTCTTGCCCCTCATGCTGGAGGTCATTTTTGTTAACCAGCTAGTCTGAATGAGTAGTGCTCCTTTCTGGCTGCTGGTCACTTGAGAGGTTTTAACCAACCAACAAAACCCCCCCTAGCTAGTAGAGAACCCTATTTGGTAATGTAGGTAATTTGTGTGTTAAATTTCTTTCAGTTTATTGTTGTTTGCTCACTGTTTTGTTTTCAGGCTAGGTCAGAATTGAAAGCATAAATTTTTTGCATTCCTTCTGTATTGGGTTTAATCATGTCCTTTTTCCATAAAAATTGAGATAAAATATTTTAAGCCATGGATAAAGCGGGAGGAAAATGCGTCTTGAAAATAAGTCATTCATTAAACACGCTTTTCCTAATTGATTGCCCTGCCAGTTGCACTGGCTTCCTTTCAATATGTCTTTTTATTATTGAGCCCTCTGCAGTATTTTCTTGGGAAACTGTTCAAACCAGTTGCTTCTGACTCAGGTTTCCTAAGGTTTGAAAATTGTATTCTCTTCAGAGGAGGCCCTTTTGGTAGTTTGCCAGCTATATTCCATGATTTGGAATTCTTTTCTTGTTTGTAACCAGATCGTTACCTTCTCTTTCATCTTCCTCCCAGCCCCTCCACCCCAGGTTTACAAGCATGACAGGAACAACAAATGCTTTATTTTCTAGATTTATAAAAAATGGTATTTTTCAGTAGCATTTATTCTCAATGGTATTCAAGAGGAACAGTGACATGCTGACTGCTTGAGTAAAGGTCGTTCTTAACAAGTCAATAGAGTAAATATTCTGGATTGATTTCATTGTTTTAATTGTTGCAACATGCGTCCTTTTAAGTATTGATAAATGGAGACAGTGTCCGGGAGGTTCTTCACACCTCTATTTCCAGACAACTTTTGGCTTTTGCTGCAACAAAAGCCACTTCCAAGACAGAAAGCTTGTTCAACAGTGGGATTTGAAATGGATATTTACAAAGGTCTTTGTCACTGACCCAGTAAGAAAAGACAGAAGTCAGCCTTGTCTGGGAGTTGGTCTCTTCACAGTGAAGTGCTGTGTACAGCTCTATAAATTAGTGGGGTAGTAAGGAAAAAATCACTTAGCATCTCAGCTAATCTCCTCCCTGCCCAAAGAAGGGAGAAAATACTGTATTTTGCAAACACTGGTAATCTGTTCTGTATAGACATGTTTGTCTTATTCAAGGATATTTTGAATGATGTTTACCAGTTTTCACATACAGCTTGAAAATACAATATCTCGGTGCTAGTGGTACCCCTTTTTTGCTAAACTCACTTGTTTCTACTTGAATAGCTTTTCTACTAATGACTAACCTCCAGGTAAAAGAGATTAATTAGACGTTGAGTAAGGCTCAGTACGTATGGTGAAAATATAAAAAACATTTAAGTCAGACCCATTGGGCTGTCTTTGTTGCTTAACAGATATGTTTGGTTTTCTTTGAAGAGCATGTAACTGCTGATAAATTTTCAGTAATAATCAGAGGAGTAGCTATGGCTTGGCTTGTATTTTCTCTCAAGATTTTAAAGGAAAAGAAAAATTGTTTGGCCTGATACTTTTAAAACCAACTGAATAGAAGTTGACTATGTGCTAAAAGGTTTTGGTGGTTTTTCAGTGGCGTGTGGGGTTTGGGGGGGGTGGTTTTGTTTTGTTTTGTTTGTTTTTTTACTTCAGCAGTTTTTACAACAAACAGGCATAATACACTTAAATCAAGCACTGGAAAATATATGGAAAATGTATTTGAAGGTGCTTCAGGAGTGCCTTTTTTATACTGCTAAAATATCTATACTGCCAAAGCTTGTGAAAATGCTGCTGCCAGGAAAGGGGACCCTACTGCTCATTCAGTTATGCCCTAGGAGTGAAAAGGAATGCATTTTGCAAAGGCACTTTTTTGTTCTACATAGTTCTAATATAATTGTTGTAGCTAATGTAAACCTGAACAAACAAGAAAGTGTTTAACTATAAGGTTGCAACAGAGTAAGCCTTGGAATTTGGGGCTGGAACTTGAAAACAGCCTTTGCTATTGAAAGGGAGAATTTTAGTCAAGAGTCCTTTAGGAAAACTCTACACCTTCACTCCTTTCTTATTGCTCAGAGATTAGGGGAAGGTTGGCAAAAAGTTTGTCACCTGCAAGAAAAGTCTAATGGGATAAATTTCCTTCTATAGAAGGAAAGTACTGGTGGGCGTCTGAGGCTAGATAGATAATCTAAAACCTTATCTGTTGGAGGATTTGTGAATATTTGAATTTTTGCCATCTTACAGTAATGATAAGATCCCTTTACTGTTGAAAATATATTTCCCTTTCGCTGATGTAGAAGGACTGAGTGCTTAAGTTTAAGAAGCCAGAAGACCATACCTGAGGAAGTTTAGAAAGAGAGAGAGGAGAAACTCTTAACATGCTTATCCCTGAGCTGTTCTGTATTCTTTTTAGCTTACCATCTTTTTTGGCCAGAGACCACCTTAGGCGCATGTAGCTCACTCTGCACTTGCAGCAGAAGCTGCAGTGGCACTATCCTGTCAAAGTAGCAGCCAAAGCATTTTGATACTTAGTTTTTCAGAACGACCCCCCCTTTTTCTTTGTCAATATTTGTGACATATTGGTAAATAACTACGTTTAAGATGGCAAAATTAATTAAACTAGCCATCCATTTACCTTTTCATTTCTGTCTGTGAGGAAAAAGGCAGTGAACTCAAAATTAGAATTGGAGACTTTTAAAATGCTTTTGGTAAAGCCCTAAAATTTGTGTAAGATAGGAAAATATGCTTATTGAACTATAAAGGCTGTCTGTAGCTCATCCAAAGCAGTTTAATTTTTTAAATTTCAAATTATACCTAAATTACATATATTTGGAGATGTAGTTATTCTAATTATATTTGTACAATGTACAAGTATGATTTTACTTTTTTTCTTTTTTGGAATAAACCAAGATACTATTTTAATGGATTGAAGAAGACACTAAAATCCAAATGAGAAAAAATAAATATTCTAAGCACGTGTTCTTACTCTGTATAGTGTTCCTACTTGTGTATTTCTATTCTAGCACTTTGAGAATTCTGAATTGCATAATTATATCTTTAACAGGGATTTGTTTTGACGGTCACAGTGGTACGGGAAGCCGTTGATGAATTTCGACGTTACAAGAGAGACAAGGAAATGAACTCACAGTTATATAGCAAGCTGACAGTACGAGGTTAGCAAAACCATTTGTATAAATCCTTAAAATATTTCATCTTTTTCTTATATATACATTTACAGATTTTCAGTTCAAAGAAATAGCTAATAGTTTTAAGCTGCACTATTCAGAATGAAACTAATACTGAATTAAAAGTGCATGATTTCCCTTAGATAAATACAACTTAAACTTGATCTGTTTAAGAAGTGTTGTAAAGCTTTTGTTGTTTTTAAAGGAAAGGTGTACGTGTATAATTGTATGTATTTTTGAAGCATTCTGCTGTTTAGGACTATTACTTCAAAGTGCAGTTCTCCTCTGAAATTGATACCGCACAGTAACTCAGCAACAGTCAGCTATGTATCAAGTGTATATAGGAAATAAAGGATCAGTAACTAAGAAATACAGTCTAATTAAAATTCACTAGAGCCTTTCAAACTTGGTGGATATATTTCTGCTTAAGAAAAGGAAGATGTATTGTGAATCAGCTTCAGTATCAAAAATGCTGATTTCAATTTTTGCATTATGATTTAAAATCTATATGATTATGCAGTAGGAACAGGCTTTTTTCTTTCCAGAAATTAATAAAAGCAAAAATCACAGTTATGTCTTTTTTTGGACTCAAAAACCTTTGACAGTTTTTCACAAAGACTTTTAAGGAAATGAAGCACTTCAGCTGTAGAGTGACAATTAAGTTTGGTAGGATATTGTAAATTTTAAACATGGGCATAAGAGGAGAAACTATGCACTCCTCTCCACTTTTATGTTGCTTAGCACATTTTACTGTTTAGATTCGGAACAGTGCCACATAGAAAGGTGCCAGAAAATAATGAATAACCTATTATCAACTCGAACTGTAATTAATAACCTTACAAAACAACATGACCTTGCTATTACACGCAGAAGTTATTTTGCTACAATATCCTGGGAAGTCTCTATTAAGGATTTTCCTTGGCATAAAAGTTCTAGAGGCGGGAAGTTGTTAAGGAATGTGAGGTTGTGTCTCAAGCAGTTAGAGTATATGGCATACATTGTGCCAAGTGTAAATTCTGTTCACTAATTCCCACCATACATTTCATTGCGCTTTTTAGTGAATCTTGGTGAATATCTTCTGAGAGTCAGTGGGAAGAGTAACCTCACCACATACAGGAGTCTTAGTTAGAAACTAAACTCTTGGAGTAGCTCTAGGTTATATTCTCTCCAGGAAAAAATGGATGAAAAGCTTATAATGTAACACAAGTATGTGCTGTCTTAGCCCGTTTTTTAAAGTAGTTGGAAGGTAAGTAAACAGGCAAGAGTCTCATTAGTGATGATCTAACCTAGCAGCTGAGAGGAATTTACACCGCTTCCTCGCAGTATGGAGACTTGTATTGTTTTCTGGAGTTTGCATATGGAAGGGAACAACTGTAGGGAATATTTGCCATTCTTCCCTTCCTTGTCAGCCTGAAATAGCTTTATCAACATTTAGACATAACCACTATGGAAATTTGCAAATGGGATAGCTATCATTTAACACAAGTGGTTGCACTGCTGGCCTCCAGATCTTTATAGTCTGTAGTACAATCTGTAAAGAAGTGGACTCTTAATGGCTGTTCTTTCAAAGTTGTAATTTAACCTGGTAGTTGGTTTATTCATTTTTTGGATCTGTTACAGTAGGCCACTGAACACTCACCTTTGAAATAGTACAATCCTACTCCATTCAGCAACTGTGTTAGTAATCTGAAATTCTTAATTCTGGAAGCACATGTATAGGTTATAGTTACCACTGTGATGTAAATGTCAAGACTGACATTTGCTGTTTTAAGAGCTAAGTTTGGTGTCTTTTGTGCTTCTTTTTTCACTTAACTTGTTTAGAGTTAATATTGGAGTTTCTGGTAAATTGCTAGGCATTTAAGCAGCATTGAAGTAGAAGTTTTGGAATCCTGATTTCTTCTTTCCCAGCTCATGAAATATTTCATGAGGTTATGTGTATTTGAGAAACTTTCCATTTTGTAGCTTCTTCCAGAAATGAGGAAGTTGATCGGATTTGGTCACCTTGACACAGCTGTTTTCTAGATATGGAAAAGAGATTTTTAAAATAGTATGCAATAGTATATAGGTAAAGCCCAGCAGCTATATCAGGAACTGACATGTAGAGAGCAGTGACTTGGTCAAAAGAAGTTTTAAAAATGCCCTTTTTTAAAAAAAGGATATCAGCTTTTACCCACAAATGTGTATGTCTACTTTGACTTTCAGGTTTTGGTGTTAGCGCCATCATGAATTCATACTTGGCTTTTGTTCTGTTTTGTGTTTGTTTTTTTTTTTTAAGACCATGATATTCTACAGAAGTAAAGATTCAAGATCTCTGCTTACCATGAACTCTCAATCCCATGTTGACAGTGGTGTGATTGATGACCTAACAATGTTTTGATTTGTGGCCAATTTTATGAATGAAAACATTATTGCAGTCCCCACTCAAAATTAAGATGTACTAAAAATTGCCCCAAACACTTATATAAAATAATGAATAGATGACAAATTACACCTATCCTTAGTATAGGGTTCTTTCATAATAAGGCATTCTGAAAGTGAAAGGTATCATTTTCAGGCAAAAAAATGGGACTTCCTGCTATGATAAAATTAGATGAAGATTTTTACAGGTTATGAGAAGGATTTAGGTTTTTTCTGTGCAAATTAATGAAGTAAAGTCCTACACTTCTGCAAACTTTTTCTAAATAACTTTTAATATAATCTACCCAATTTTAATATTGGCAGTACTCTTCAAGTGGAAGAATTTGGTTAGGCTTACTATACTAACCTACAGGCTAATGGTTTGGAGAAAGAAGGCTTTGTTACTTGTGAATGAACAAACTTGATACTGATCTAATTAAAAGCCTGAAAATCAATGCCACTCTTAAGAGTTCCTTTTCAGAGTGGAACTGCACTTTATACTGCTTTAGCATCTTTTTTTTTCCTAGTGATTTTACGACTTGTGTAGGTTTTACAGTCTTTTCTTTGAAATAGGTATTTTTTCCATCTCAGAGATGGAGAAACTGACATAGAGAGGTTAAGCAGGTTGCCTTTTCTCAAATTGGACAGTAGGAAAATTTAAAGTTATCAAGGTTCAGTGTTACCCTTGGTGTAATTGTACCATTTATGGAAGATGAGAATTGAATCATTTCTAGTTAGTTGTTTTGCAAAATTGTTTGTTTCCTATAGGGAAACAAATGTGTTTGTAGCAAGAGAAGCTACTGGGATTTGAATTGTGATTAATTACTTGTATGAAGATAGTGTGGGTAGGCTGATTTGTAATTTAAAATCTTTTTATACAGTGTTGCAATAGACTAAAACCAGGAAGTCTTTGACTACCTAGCAGTGTTGACTTTCTGTGGAGTCATTTTTAGGCTCAGGAACCCCTAAACAGGTAAAACATGTGAATGTGTCACCTGCATGTTGCTAGTGTAAGAAGTACCAGCTTCTTGAAGCTGGTGGATTCACATTAGTGACTCTTGAAGACTTAGAATTTCTTTTTAGTAATTCAAGACATTGAATAAATATTTGTTCTAATCAGTAAGTCTTAGGGTTTTTTCATAATAATGAGCTCTTCCGATCAGGAAATTAGGTGAGAATGGGACATCTCTTTTAAGTGTTACTCAGCTGTACTTAGGCAGCAATGGCCAGCTTAATGTCTGTAGACTAATTCTAATCCATGAGGTATCCAGTGTTACACGGCTTTCTATTTGTCATGTAACATGGCAAAGCTCAGTATTCAGTCATCCCTTGGTGAATTTGCTATGTGTAACTTTGCACTTGTCAAGAAGGTGAACCTGCTACACATGAAGTTTGAATGGTTTCTACTTCTTCAACCGTTTGTGGCAAGTGATAAAACATGCCAGTCAGTAAATGTATTGAATTTTTTTGTGAGCAAGTCAATTAAGCATACTCGTCTCTGTGTCTTTCATGTGAATTTTTCCCTTGTATACTTTCCTAGATTATGGTATTGAATCTCTTAAGTTGTTCAGTGTATGATGCATTCTGCTGTCTTAATTTTTTTGAGATGTTTGTTGCAAAATGTACTTTCCTTTTTTGCATATCAAAGTCTGCAAATCCTTAATAGACAAGTTTTCAGTCAGCATGCAAGTTAAAGTTGGAGGGAGGAAGAGTATCTGCCTGTAGAATTGAAATTATCTTGCTATTGAAGATCCTGTCAATTTAATTGCCTTTTTCTGCTTCAGAGCAGCTCACCTGCATAACCTTTTGTAGAGCAGAAACTGCAATGGAAAAAATTTTAGACCTGTGCATGCAGGTTTAGGAGGACTTATGTTTTTCGTTCCTAAGGGACTGTTATACTTTTGGTGCAGCTTCTTGTCTCGTGCGCTTAGGTATGACCAGTTAAGTGCCTATGAAAAAATGCTGCTATTCTGCAGAAGAATCACCTCAAGTTCATGAACAGGCTATTATCTCTTTTATTAAGCTGTCAAAAGCCAATTGGATAATAAAACTGTAAAGCAATTTTAACTCTTTTTCCTTTCTCATTCTTGAAGTTGGGGGTCCTGCCTGCCCTGACCCTTTCCTAGTTAGGTTTGCCCATGCAGTGTTACTGAAGTTTTGAAGAAAAAAGGTCAAGAAGAAAATAGCTGTAATAGTGAGAACTCAGAGTTGCAGAAGAGGCATGCACTTCATCTCAGGATGTTTAACATGATTTTTGGAAGCGTTGCAGGACTCTCTCTCGCTTTGCAACCTGCAAAGCAAAAGAAAAAATGAATGTGAGGAGAGATAAGATTAATGAAATAATTCCATCCAGGCTTCAAATGTGAAACTTATGTCTTTGCTGTATACTTAAAGGGTGCTTAAGAATGTAGTGAAGTTGAAATTATATGCCAAAACTGTGTGAAATTGAGAAAATATGAGTAACTGCTATACACAAGAAGAGAACAAAGTGTGAAATCTAGTATGTTTCCTTTAAAATTGTATGTTGTGGTTTAAACCCCAGCCAGCAACTAAGCACCATGCAGCTGCTCACTCAGTTTCCCCCCACCTAGTGGGATGGGGGAGAGAATTGGAAAGAAGAAGGTAAAACTCATGGGTTGAAATAACAACAGTTTAATAGAACAGAGTGGAAGAAAATGATAGTAATGACAACGATAAAATGACAATAATAATAAAAGGATTGGAATATACAAGTGATGCACAATGCAATTGCTCACCACTCACCGACTGATGCCCAGTTAGTTCCCAAGCAGTCATCCCCTCCAGACCAACTCCCCCCAGTTTATATACTGGGCATGACATCACATGGTGTGGAATTTTCCCTTGGTCAGTTTGGATCAGCTGTCCTGGCTGTGTCCCCCTCCAGCCTTCTTGCTGGCTGGGCCTGAGAAGCTGAAAAATCCTTGACTTAGTACTACTTAGCAATAACTGAAAACATCAGTGTATTATCAACATTCTTCTCATACTAATCCAAGACATAACACTATACCAGCTACTAGAAAGAAAATTAACTCTATCCCAGGTGAAACCAGGACATTGGAGAATTGAGAAGTCTGAGACCGCTACAGTGATTTGAATTTTTTTTTTTTTTTATTTTTGAACTTCTGTTTATGGAGTGGGAGCTGCTCTGTTCCTAAAATGCTACCTTGCTCAGTTTCTCTCAATTGACCTTTTTTTAAATTGCAAAATGGTCTCTTGTCAAGAGGCAAACATTTTTCAATCATTTATACCTATGTTATTTGCAACTTTAAATAAGATTATGTTTGTTAGAATGTCTTGATTATTGTAGTATTTTGCATTTATTTGAAATCTGTATTGAAACCTCTTACAATGTTAGAATTTCATCTCTCTTCAGGAACAGGTCATCCTTTGGCTTTTTAAAAAGCTACTGCATTAAAAAAGAACAACATTATTTCTGAATCTAGAGGTACAACATTAGGTCTTTATTGCTTGCAGTATTTCACACCTGCCGATAACTTCATTCCTGGTATTTAGACCATTTGAAACAGATAATTTTTTAAAGAATTGTATCAATTTAATTTAGCTGATGAGGGAAGCAGTAAGCAACAGCAGAAACAGGATTTGAAATTTTAACGTAGGAAAGAATTTCAAAATGAGGCCGAAAGAAAGGAAAACGTTAAAGGGACTGTTTTGTTCCACATTTTTGCAGCATCCAAGAGATTGGATAAGAAAGAATGAAGGCTTTCCCTTTCACCCAAGAGGAGATAGTATGGAGAGAGGAGCTAGGAAGCTTCTCTCTAGAGTTTTATATTGGTGATTAAAGACTAACCTCAGTTCACTGTGTAAGGTGGAGTTTGAAAGAAGGACCTAAGGACAGTGCTTGCACTGAAAGATCAGCATCCTCACCTTGGACTCACTGTAGCTTTAAGCTTTTCCCTGCCGCCCTCCCCCGCCAGCTCCACATTATATTATGTATACTCTAATTTTGCTGATAGCTCAAGCTAATAAAATGCCAGGTAAAATTTTCATATGGTCTATACTTGACTCCTTTCATTCTAGACTTTTATATTTACGGGTTAGAGACAAGCTCTGTTACCAATTCCAGAAGCAGTACTTCAGACAGGACTCAAGGTATCATGGGTAAGATGTAGTAGCAAATTAAAAAGAATTTGAAAGTGCTGCTCTCAGAAGCTACTGTTTTTTCAGGAGTGGCTTGCGTTTGGGTAGTAGAGACACTTTTTAATAAAAAGAAACAAAGTCGTTTCTGATATACTATATACCCACATTTTGTTTACTTCGTTTCTTAAATTTTTATGTGAAATACTTGTTAGTCCATATGAGATATTTATTAGTTTTTCAAATCATTGCAATTCATTTCAAAAGGCTTTATCTTGGGAGTATAATGAATTACTACAGACACATTTCAATGTTCCAGTTCTGCATAATTCTATATGTTGCTTTAGGCGAAAGCCTTGCGCCTTGGTGGACTATAAAGTCTGGATGCGCAGCCACTTCTGACAGCTTTGGACTTTTTATTGGTAATTACACAGATGGTGAAGAGTGTTTTGCTACGGAGATGTTTTTAGAGAAAAAATAGTTTGCAAAAATAATTTATGCAGTGAATAACATTCAGTGTCTTTTTTTTTTTTTCCCTAAATGCATTTTCACTAAGATGTAGTATTGCATTATTTTAATGTTCTCTGAAATGGTATCTAATGATTCTCTTTTTTGCTAGTCTAAAGGAAAGTGTTATTTGTTGACTTTTCAAAATTTTAAGCCACTCTTTGAATTACTGCCATGTTTTACCATTTAGTTTTTAATGGAATATATCCTGCCATTCAGATTCATTGTAGAATTAATTATCTTATGTGTCACAGGCCACTTCCTTACATGTGGGGATATACAGGATGCTCTAACAAGACATGTTAGTGTGTAGTGAAGATTGTATTCTGTAGTGTTATACTAAGCCACCTAGAAAACAATCTGATAAGAGAACTTTTCAATTCATAATGTGAAATGCCCAGGATTGCTAGACTGACTACAAGCAAAGGTGCAGTGTAGGTTCCTGTTGGTATACTTGGTACCAGGAGTCTTTGCTTTTTGTGTGCCCTACATCATGTTGCAAATGAATGTTCTACCTTCTCTTGTCCTCTGAGGCTTAGTGTCTTTTGATCTTTACTGTAGATGCTGTTAGAAAGTGACTGGAAAATTCAATTGTTTGAGTTGATAAAATTGCTAGTAATTGCATTTGATTAGTATCTCTGAATGGTTTTGGACATATAGGACTGCATAGGTGGCATAGATCTGAGACTTAATGCAGTTGGTACTAGGATTTTTGTGTCTGTTATTACTGTAATCAGTTGACTGACTTGGTTATCACACTGATAAACTGATGAAAATTGTTAGCAGAAGAATTGAAAACAAAATAGGACATGCTATCCTTTTGGTAAAGCTAACAGACTTAGAAAGCAAAGTAAACATTACAATGTTTTTCCAGTATATACTATTCACTTCTAGTCAAAACTTGAGAATTTATAAGGAGAATTCACAGGCTCATGTAGCTAAGCGGACTAAATATGTTGATCTGGTATCAGACTGTTCTTTTAGTGGTTGAGCTTTAGTACTTGTTACTTTAGATAAAAAAAAAAAAATTGTCATGAGATTGACACTAACTTAATTTCCATAGGTGTCTTGAAACTCCTGTAGAGAACTGCTAATGTTTCTTGCTACAGCTTTTTATACCTTGGTCTTCTGCTACTCCCTTCATCCTCACAAATGTGTTATGGCAGAGTTAGGAGTCAGACTGAAGATATAATTTTTTTTATATCGGCGTGGAGGGCGGGGGAGACGTGTTTTTAGCAAGTGAGAAGTTGAACTGATCATTTTCTGAAAGACTGGCTTTCAGAAATAACTTTGCAGACAGGCCAAACAAAAGTTCTGATTTTCCTCTGACATTGCACATTTTAAAAACACTAATATCATGGAAAATGTATTAAAAATTAGCTGTAGGAATACATTTATTATTGACTGAATTAAACTTAAAACAGCTGTTACTTTTTCATGAAATGCAGTTTTAAAGAGCAAGTACTGAAAATAATTATGCAGAACATGAATCTTACTACGTTTGACTAACTGCACATATAAATATAAGGAGTTTTTTGAGGTTAGCTACCTGATATCTCTTCTTTGAGACTTATGATGAGGAGGTCTCAGGGATTTGGAACCTAGCTTAGTTTTTGTTTTATACTTCGTATAACTTTGAGAGATTGATAGAATGTGCATTGGCAAACCTACTATTCATAATACTTTTGATTAAACTCCAAACTGATTGCTGCTCATCCTGTGCTTTTGTGGGTCTGCTGTTCTACTTTGTTGAGTCTGATTTTTATTTAGAACCCTAGCACCTTACCATGTTTTGACATACTTTTCATTTGATAGCTGCTGATCAGATACCTGCTGCTTGGTATCATGGTAGTGTTTCTGATGGTAAAAGATATTTCGTATGGGGGTGTGTTTCAGCTCATCAGGCTGTGTAAATATGTATGTGTTTATATCCTGAGTTAACAGGTTCTGAATTTATCACCTGTTATATCTTGGAAGAGGATATCCATACGTCATGACTTGTCTACAAGTTGGGGGGTTGGTTGTTTTTAAGCCAGGGAAGCAACTTTTTCTGGAATTGTAGCAAGGACCTGGGACTAGGACTCCTGAATTCTAATGAGATCAACAATAACTCATTTTGGGCAGTAGCTTAACCTCTCTGTCTCAGTTTTTCAGTCCATCAAATAAGAATGTTAAAACTTAACAGTCTTACAAATATTAATACCCTACAGACCATACAGAAATCGAATTGGTACATGTGCTGTGTATAATTTTGAATGAGTTGTTCACAGCAGTTACTGAATGGGCAGCTCTAGAGAACGAAAAACCTCTGTTTCAGCTTTTGATATTTTACTTTTCTAAAATGAAATCTTCAGGCATGTCTTCTCACTTTAGAGAGACTTATGCCTTTTCCACTATAATTGCCAAGAAGTGTCAGACAGTGCCAATTACATCAGTAACTTCAGTGGCCAAGCAAAGCTACCTGTTGGTAACTGGGCTGTGACTGACAACTCATGTGTGTGAGAATGCTCCATGACTGTAAGCCTAACAACTCTTGACTTGTCAGAAATAGAAGTGCTGTCCAGTAGGAGATGTGAAAGACTCCTTTTTCCAATTTTACAACTCTGTTATTGATACTATAGATCAGACTTGAGCATCTTCCATACATAACTTCTTTTCCTCTCATACTTCTACAATAGCTAACTAGTTACAAAACTAGACTCTTTTAACCAGTTAATTATTTATTCAAACAGATGAAATCTCATTATTATGTGTTCCTCGGAGATCCATTTTGTATAAATTGTAACATTTTCACCAAACAATAACGTCTTTAAGTATAACTTTCATTCTGGGATTTATATTCTTGTGACTCTCTATTAATGTCTGCCTAAGTTGATTACATTTCTTCTTCTTTTTAAGGTAAAGTGCAAGTTAAGAGTTCAGACATACAAGTTGGAGACCTCATCATAGTGGAAAAGGTTGATACTTTTTAAATATATTTTAGAGACTAAAGATTATTAACGTGCTAATTACCTTCTGAAGAAAAGTATATCGAGGTACTTATCTGTGAAGTACTAACTAGCTAGTATTCAAGTCTTATTTGAGAATCTTCAAGGAAGTCTATTTTTTGATTAATTAAAAGATTAATTGAATGTAAGCATTTATATTTCCTGAGTTGGTATATGCTTAAATTTATCTAATGAAGGGAATACAGTTACTGAATTAAATTATCTGGCTTGTGCTGTGGTGAATGTTCTAAGCTGTCTGATTACTGATACCTTCCTTCTGATGCTCAAATCAGTGTTTTTCTGTGTCTGAAGCCTTCAAGGACAAGTTTTATTTATATAGATAAATATGTTTATATTATATAATTATAATAATGTATATAATGTTATATATATAATTAAATAATATAAAAGTTTATATATTTTCAAAAAGGAGAAAAAGCTTTCCAGTTTGGTTGCAAATGGTGGATGAGAGCTGTGAACATTTTTCCCTCTATGCTACTATACTAATAAAGACAGTGTTGCTTATTTCAGTTGGCTTTCTGGGGTACTAAGAAATTATTGTGACCTTGAAAGTCAACTTAATTTTCGTGTCAGAGGAAACTCTTTTTACTTAAGTTCATTCTGGAAAGGTGACTCACTTTCTGGGTACCAGCAAGTGATTCCCTTCACACTTTGTATTAGAAAGTTAATCCATGGAGATGCTACAAGGAGGCATCTCAAGTTGAAGTTTGTTTCTACAGCTTTGTTTGAAGTGTTGTATGGCAAGTTGCAGCTTGGCAGAAAAATCCTTAGTGGAACCTAGTCAGTGACTAGACTTTTCTAAACTTCTTGGTGTTTTTTTATTCCTACTTAGTGGAGTTAATTATTTCTGATAAAGGAAAATCCTTCAGCAAATATGCCTTCCTCATATATTTTGTGCTTTCTTACCTGTTAACACCTCTCCTTTTGGTTGGAGAATCTGGAGAACTCATAAATTGTTAGTGGATAGAGATTATTTTCTTTTATCCAGCCATGTATAAGAAACCCCTCTTCTGTTTGTTTTGGAAACCTTCTGTTTCCTTCCTTTCTGTTTCTTCTATAGTCCAAAGAAAGAACAATACACCCAAGTTTCACTTGGTTTGCTGCTCTCAGCAGTTTATACTATTTCTTGCCTTTTTTTTCTTTCTTTCTTTCTTTCTTTTGTCAGCTCTCTGTACCTGATATCTTTTGGGGCCTGTCTGAGCAGTATATACTAGTGTAGACAAGATTAGCACTAATGTGTCTGGCCTTTACATCTCTTTTGCCTTACACCTTGCTATCTTAGAGTGCAGGTGGAGTGAGCTTGCAGCTGCTCACTTGTGCCTGTTCCAGATCTTCTAGGAGACTGAGATATTTGCTTTGATTTTTATTAGGAAACTTTTTAGGACTGCCTTAATCTCTAAACCTGGAGTTAATTATTATAGAGCGTAGGGAAGACTCTAGTGACTACATAGGTAATCTGCCTTCCCTGAAATTTACTGAGATCCATCAGTCTGTTGAATTATGGTAGAATTTGGAAAACGGGAATTACTTTGGGGATCAATCTGTCTTGTATGAGGTAGGTCATTAGCATCTATTTCAGCATTATTGGCAGCAGCTTACAGATCATATGTTGTGAGTACTTGAAATTTCTAATGAAAAAAATGTGTAAGGATTTAGGGAAATGAGTAGAGTTCTTTCTGATGAAGATTTTACTCGGGTATGTCAGTGAGATGCATATAATTGTTTCAATGTTGTATTTCAGCTTCAAGCTCTGTCCTGCCCCAGCAGAGCTTTTTTTCATTTTAGCCTAGCTGGGGATGCCGTCAGACTAATGAAATTAAATGTTTTCTGGTTCTGTTGAGAAGTGTATTTTGTTGGAGCAAGCAGTTTTCAATTTCAGAGTATGACTCTTAAGCCAAAGAACCAGTCGGGAGTGAAATGTTCAATTGCTCACTCTAATGGCAAAGGAAAAAGTTAACATTGTATTTGACTGGAAGATGCATCAACAGCATTTCTGCAGTGAAATTAATGACTCATTTGAGCTGGAGATCCATATGTTAACTAGTGACTGCATCACAAAGACTAACAACTTAAGTGAAAGGCTTTTCTATATTTAAACCTTGAATATCCTCTGTTTATTGTCTTTTTAAAAAAAAAAAAATTAATTTCAGAGCAGCTCTAAGTGACTGCAATGTGCTTAAAAGAGTTTAGTTCCAAGTAATATATCTATTGTTTCAACTGAAAATTTTGTAATGCACTGGCACTAGGGCAGGAAGAGGCCTGAATGGAAGAAAATATTGCCTGTTTTTAAAAACTAAAAGGCATTTGTATGTTAGCTGAAAAACCCTCCTCTGCCTTGAACAGACGTGCTACCTCCTAGATGTTCTCCTTGGCTTTATTAAGATACAATTTTAGTTTCCAGTAGGAGCACAGGTGTACATACTGTTCCTAAATAAGACAATTGAAGGGATGATGTGATGAGTTCAGGTAGCTTATTGACAGTTCGGAATAGATTTTGGAGACATGAAGAGGGCATAAAACTTAATAACACATTTAGTTAATAATTGATTAACACATTTACTTAATAACATTTAATAATAACAACACATAATAGTGTTTTAAGACGTGTGGAACAGTAATGCTTTATCTTAAAACTTTGAGAGCTTTTCTTGGAGCTGTAAAGGGACACAATTGTTTTTTCTTAATCTCAGGTGTAAAGTGAAATTAATCCAGTATTTATAAGGATTGCAGTTAATGCTAGCATGCAGTATTGCACAGCATGCAGATGTAAGAAGACAACTGGGCAATGCCTCTTCTGTTTATAACTCGGAAGCAAGCAGGAATATTTTAGTCAATGAGAAAACTACATGGTTCCTTACATGAATGGAGAAGAAAGTACGGTAAATGCAAAATTCGGAGGGTCTGTAGCTATAGGTGATTGTAGGGGAATTGGAAGACTGACTAGGGAGCTGGAGAAGCTTATGTAAATAACAATTCTGTGATAATAACATGAGGAAAATGAAAAACTACTTTGAAAGCTGTTAGAAATGGTATTTTTCAAGCAAATATTGTAGCCTGTGTTGCAGGGAATTATAGGTATGTTTGTGGGTTTTCTTGTTTTCCAATCTGGCTAGTATTCCTGGATGGCATGAAGTCAGCCATGGGAACCCAGAAGCTGAGAGGGTGCTTACCTTGTGTTGACCGTTGGCTTGCTGTAGTTAGAGCTCTAGGAATGAATCTGTAAGTCTGCAGCATAGACAAACACTGAGAGGAATGGAAGCCCTCCTTTCCTGGAGCTCTAATTCTGCCCAGACTTAAGCAAAACAATGTATTCAAGTCATTTTCATGACTTATATATTCAAATTTCAGTATATATCAATAAACGTTTCTAGCTTCATCTCCATGGTAATTGAGATTACATAGTTTCTTCATGGGTTTCTGAATGCTTAAAGTTGTATGTGTTGTCATTTTAACTTGTTCCACTTTGATAAATATGACATGAGAGGGCTAACATGATTGACATATTGCTGCTGTTTATCTGTGACAATGTACAACAGAACTTAATTTTCTCCATAATGAGGTGTTAAAGATTTTTGTAGCATACTTGCCATCTGTTTCTGTGTAGTCACTCTTTTATACTGAGTAGGTACATCTTTGCAGGGGGATCTTTGCTCTCCAGCATCAGCAGTAACAGTGAAAATGTTTTTTGGTGTCTACTACTCCTGCAGTACCTTTCTGCCCACTTCCAAAATACAGAAAACCTAATGAAAAACAAGATGTCAGTCTTAAATACTGTTGTGGTTTTGGTTTGGGTTTTTTTCCTGACGGAGAAAGTAAATACAGGACAGTCTCTAGCCTTCCCTACATGGAAAGATACATTCAGATATGTTCATACAGAAAAGCTTACATTATTTTACAGGGAAGAGAAACAAGCAGCGAGAACACATTAAAAAGACGTAAAGTCAAGATGCATTTTTTCTATTAAAATGTGAAGATGATCACATGACTAATTTGATCGCAGTCTACAACTTCCTCACGGGTGGGGCAGTGCTGATCTCTCTCTGGTGACCAGCGATAGGACACGAGGAAATGGAATGAAGCTGCGTCAGGGGAAGTTCAGGCTGGACATTGGGAAAAGGTTCTTCACTTGAGAAGGGAGTTTGGTCCCTGGAACAGGCTGCCCAGGGAAGTGGGGACGATGCTCTTAGTCGTACGGTTTAGTTTTAGGTAGTCCTGCGAGGACCAGGGAGTTGGACTCGATGATCCTCATAGGTCCCTTCCAACTTGAGACATTGTATGATTCTGCCCAATTTTGTCCGGCATAAAGACTTGAATCTTGGATAGCGAGTACCAGGTGAATGTTTCGTTTACTGAATGTGAAACGTGCGTTCTCTGTGGAAGGTAGTAATGATTTGTAAAAACCCGATACCTTATTTGGATTATTAGAACTTATATTTAATTCAGTATTAAATCATTTGACTGTTATTATTGCAAAATTTTTGGGTGTTGGTCAAGTGTTTTTGCTTGTTTACAAGTAACTGGAAGTTTGTAGGCATGAAGCCAGTAACCTGCAACTTGTGTAATGGATTTATGTCAGAGCTGGCAGGGAAGCAGCAAAAATGTATAGCTAATCTATATGAAGACTGGATATCTGTTTAATTGTTATTGTCATTTAAGGAAAGATTTATTTAATTTTGAAGTTACATTTTCCCTTTCTTCTTTTTTTTCTTTCTTCTAATAGGTGCATAATAATATATAGTAAGGTTAATGTTTTTTTCTGAATCTGAGTATGAGATACTCCTAGTTGAATCTGGGCTCATGATGGATAATAAATTTCACTGCATGTTTAATTATTTTCCGTTGTAAGGCAGGATTCCAAAAAATGCTATACTAGCTGCAGTTGTAGGTGAGCAGCATCTTCAAGGTGAATACTGTTGACGTACAGACAAGCACATGAATTTTTAACTTTGTGCTTTTACAAATAAATGGGAATTGCTGCAAATCAGGAAGTATCCATGCATGACAATGTATAATTTTGAGGTAAGAGGTGGGTTTTTTGCTAACAGCATAGGATTTTCAGGTAAGCCAGAACATGCATCTATTTTCTAGTGTTTCCAAACTTGCTTGTTTTCCAAGCATCTTGTTTGCTTGAGATATTACCATCTCTGTAGCCCTTCATGACCCCTCTATACTGAACTTTCCATCAATAGAGAATACAGTTGCAGTTGCTTCCAGTCCCACTTCTGAATTGGTGTGCTTGAGAGTATGTTACAGGGAGTGGCAAGAGGTACCTTCCTCCCAGAGATTTAGAGAGTTTACATCACCTTATTTTGAAAGCTGAGCCCATATAACACAGAATCTGGCAGTTGACTCTGACAGATCTACTCAGATCACACTATTCCAAATGGCACTGTTGTGGCTGCACGCTGATCTCGGGAAGGTTTCTCTGGAGTAATGGAAAACTTTGCCTACGGTATCCAGGATGTTTTGTGGTCAAATAATATTGCTATATGAGCGTGGCTTCTCAAGAACTAAGACAAATGTTAGAGTATAGCATTATATATGGGAAAAAGCATCAGCTTCTTCAGTGGTGTTGTCTAGTGTAAATACACATTCTCCATTGAGTGAGACAACGTGAATTTTTTTCACTCTGAACTGATTTTTATGGATAGTCAGGCATAGTATTTTGAAGATCCCACACACTAAGTGTCATACAGAGCAGTGCTTAATTATTGACGGATGTATTTTGAGCTGTATTATTGGAGGGGACTATGAGTCTATGTACTTCTAAGATATTTCTTTGGATGCGCAGTGATGAAGGGGAAGTGCTGCCTTCAAAGAAGTAAAAGGTGGAGGCGGGTTAAAAATGGGAAACTACGTGTCTGGTTTCAAATCAAACCAGTTTGAGAATGCTGGGTTTCTTTCTGTTCATAGCAGTGTTGTGTCCTTAAATGTTGGGATGGAGGACTGCCTTGACTCAAATGAACAAAAATACCCCTCTGTGTTGATTCTTCTAGGAGGTTTTTGAGAGTGTTTGATGATGCTGTGGTCTGGGCTATTGCCTAGATTCCTGTTGGGATAAATACTTTCAGAGCTGCTACGTGCTGTATGCACTTGAATTTCATGTAAAGATAATTTTGAACCCGTTACATTTTTCTTTGATAGTTACATCTTTGTAATGCCCCATAGAATTCATATCTTCCACTTTGATACAGTGAATCAAAGTATTGTGACTAGGATTACCCTTATGAAGTTTACAGGCAGGATTCTATATGCTGTGTTCAGTATGTGAGATGTTCCATTGCTCAGTGTCTTGAATTGAAGTTTCCAGGTTAGCTTGACCCCATCTTTATTGCTGTTTCTTCTGTATAAAACAACTAACCAGTTTTCAATAGCTGGTAGTTTATGCACAAAATAGAGCCACAGTTGAATTATTATTGCTGTATTAATTTTGCAGTTTGATTATAATTGAAGTGTGAAATGGGGAATAATTGTGTAGTTTTGAAATGCTCATATACTGAACATGCTGCTTAACTTTTTATGTTGAGTAAATTCAGTCAGGTTTTTAAGGCTGAAATCTGAGTTTCGTGTATGCCATGTGGTGGGCTTTGTCAGCTACATTTATTTTCTTTTCCATTCAGACAGTTGAGCTCTTAAAAGATGAGCCTTAGGTATGCAGTGGCTTTCAAGGCAATATCAACCAATTATAACAGGAAAACCTGAAATTTATTCTCAAATGGAGGTACTTTGTGAAAAATATTTGTGCGTTTTATCCTCTTAACAAGTAATCTGAAATGAATATTAAATATTTTTTAGTATGAAACTAGTAAAGCCATTGCTAATAATCCACTGAGATTTCTTAATTGGTTAAAGATAGTCTGTAAATTGAATGCAGATGAATCTTTGTGTTTAGCTTCAGTAGCAAACAGTACAGCATGTGGCATACTGGACCTAAATTGGGACAGAAGAAACTGCAATTCAGTACAGTATCTTTTCTCATTGCTCTGTCCACTGTTCACTCTGGTCCCTGTCAGTTTAGTCTGTCGCTTTTTTCCTTTCCAGTCCTGTATCTCTTTCAGGTTTTGACATGTTGGTTATTTTTACTTGCCCCAGTTTTTCACTCTTAAACCCTTTGCTGGCAATGTGTAACTGGTGCTGGTAGATAGATGCCTTGTGAACAAGCGGTGGGAGAGCTAAGGATTTGGGTAGTCGTGTAGCAGATAGCGTGTGTATGAGAGGGTGGTATTGTACAGTTTGTTTAATCTGCGTAAGCTTGGATTGGCCTTTCTGTGGCCAAGAAAAAATAGAAAATGTGATTTGATACAGATAGTTCTGTGCTTGAAAGGGAAATGGCAGAACAGGTGTGCAGGTGCATCTGACTCTGCATATGGCTCTATGCCTTAGATACTGAGGAAGGAATTCTATTCATTTTTGTCTATGTAAAGGAGAGGTTTATAGGTATGTGAAACAGGAAATGCTGTTCCCTGACTTGTTTCCTCTGTGTATGTTTGTCTATGTTGGGAGAGAGGAGAGTACTCGGTATACGTAATGTTTGCAACTTGAGTGCCAAGACAGATATTTTAAATTTCACTGGTTTTTTTTCTATTATATATGCTAACCGAGTGTCAGAGTTTTGCTCAGTGAAATTATTTTTAAAGATATTTCAGTTAGATATTTATATTCTTGAACTATTGTTGTCAGTTAAGAAAATGTAAATCTCTTGTAGTTCTTCAGGTATTTATGATTCACTTATAAAGAGCATCTGAAAGGATTAGCTGTTGTTTGCGTATTGTATAATTTTTCGAAAATATTGATTTCTGAATTGCAAATGCTAAATGTAAAGTACTGTGAGAAATCCTATTTTAATTGAGTTTCAATCCAAGTGTGACCTTTTGGTGATAGTTCTTACTGGACATTTGACTGGAATTCACTTTTTTTTTTCCTACTTAAAAATATACCTTATTTCCCTCTCTCCTCAGAATCAACGAATCCCATCTGACATGGTGTTTCTCAGAACATCGGAAAAAACTGGTATGTTTTGATAATTCAGATTGGTTACGTGATAAGTTTGTGGTTGCAGTAAAATTTTAGATTGTGCATTGTAGCCAATTTGAAGTGGTCAAATAGATTGATGGTAGGAGAGCTACCTTCGTCAGATTACTGGGAGAGGGTCCATGTGTGAGAAATACGGTATGCTGGGACTGTAAAACAGGAGAAATCTTACTGTGAACGTAAGACCTTTGTAGATATGTTCCTCTGAGTAGTTGATTTTTATGAATTGTTATAACAAATGTTTAGGTAAAGCAAACATTAAGACTACTTTACATTTAAGACTGTACTTGTGTAATATGACTTGACAGTATTTGAAATTATTTATGACTAATGGTTATCTTGCAACACACATTTAAATGTCATCCAACTGTATTTCAGTTATTAAATTGAAAAGAACTGAAATTTGAACCTACAAATATGTTACTGAAATAATTTCTTTAAAAATCTATTAGAGTAATCTAAAAACCTCAAATAATTGAATTTTTTTACTTGGAAATAATACAGCCTTTTTGGTCAGTCAAAACAAACCCAACAATCTTCTTGAGAGAGAGAAAGAAAAGTACTTCTCGTTAGCTCTGTTTCTCTTCCCATGGTGATAGGGGAGTACTCTTAATCTTTGAGAAACAAATATCTCCTCTATAGGAAACTTATAAATTATAGCTGGTTTGATTAAAGTTTAGAAATTGCTATTGGATGCTCCCCATATAACTCAAATGAGTTTCCCTCCTTTATATTCCCATTTCTCTTCAGATCCTGAAGAACTGTCTGATATTTGTCAGGCACAACTAAATTCCACAAAGCTAATAGCTGTGATATTGATAAACCCTGTATTAGTGGCACTTGGTATTTCACTGTCGCACTGGAGTTCTATCATATATTTCAGATAAAAGGTGAAATTTGCAGAAAATGTTTGCAAGAGAAGACAAAAATATTTCTGATAGCCTACAGAGCACTATTAGAGCTATATATTTGCTAAAAGAAGAAGAAATTACTATATAGTTACTGTGTCTTGCTAATGACTTTCCAATGCTGATTAGATACACTAGATCATCTGTAACTGGTCTGGACTGACAAAGTTTCCTAATAGTCTGTATATAATCTCCACCTTGGTTAACCACCCTCTGGTTCAGATTACATGGGTTTTTCTTTTTATTCCCTCCCACAGTAGCACATTTTATTAAAATGCATAATGCTTCTGACAACTCAAATCTCTTGGATCCAGCACAATTATAAAAGGATTGACAATGTTTCTTTTGGGGGCTACTTGCAATGTCATATTTTCCTACTAACCCAAAAACTGTTTCAGCTGAAATCACAGCTCCTAGAAAAGTAGAAAGTAGGAGGACTTCTGCACCTGTAGAATTACTTTACACGTTGCATGCAAGTGGCCTAGTTTAAATGGTAGGTCAATGTGTGTTGATTCAAGATTTTCCCAGCCTTTACTAGCTATGTCGGATTCGGTGTTACATATCTAGGCATTTGGAAGCAATCACCATCCACTCCAGCAGGGGTATGTATCACTTGTAATTTCTTTAAGTGATGTGTGCACAGTAGAAATGCACAGGGAACTCGGTATGTAATACTGTGCAGTGTTTGCTGTTATAGGAGCATCAAGAACTGTTTGTCTGGTGAGAGCTAGCTTGCTGTCCTTAATTAGGATCCTTGCAGCAGTTTACATGAGATGCATTGTCACTGCTGGAATAAATGAACAAGAACAAGATGAGACAGTTGCCTAGCTTGCAACAAAACAAGTTCTTAACTTATTTTGCATATCTGCACAATAGTGTGTTTTCCTCCCTGTTAATTCTTAAATTCCTGGATTCTGTTCGTGAGGTTATGAGACACAGTGTACTTTCCCTTTCCTGTAGTACTGTTAGTTGAAGGATGGGGCACAGGTATGGTTGTCAATTAACAATACAGGCCAGAAATGCATCTGCACAGGATACCTGTGTCTTGATTGGGAAGTATATGAATAGTAAATCTTGAAGGACCACAGTTAATATAAGTTAAACTATCTCTTTGTCAAGATATAGAAGGGGGGAGTAGAACAGGGTGAATCCCTATGTCAGAAATGTGTGAAGAAAAACATTTTTTGAAAGTAAAATTCATCAATTCTACTTCAGTGTTCAGTCTTTAAGTCTATTTCAGTCAGCTTTCGTAGAATGTCATAATTAAAATTTTCCTGTAAGAAGCTCCATTAATTTGCTATCTAGAAAATAAAGCTACTTTTTAAAAAAGTTTATTATGTTGTAACAATAGACTTTCCATAAATGATATTAAGAAAATGCTTGTGAGCACTTTGAAAGAGTTGTGTACCTACTATATAAATGTTAATTATAATGTAAAGTGAATAGAGAGTAAACTGAGTGAAATCTTCCCAGAATTCTGATACAAATTACTTTAGATACACTTCTGCTACACGTGGAATGTGATTTTAAACATTGAAAATGCACTTTCTATAAGCATGCAACAGGTTAACTAGTTATATTGGTGTTGCACTTCTTTAAAAACAAACAAAAAAAAACCCCACAAAAAAAATCCCCTGAACTTCAAGCATATGGCAGTAATTGTTTTTTGACTAAAGAGTGAACACTTACATCTGTAATTGTTTCTTCCTAGATGTTGCAGTTTTGACTGATTTATGGTTTAATTTATAGTTGACACTAAGTACTTTGTAAAACACATTAGTTTTTGCATGGCTTTATGTTCTATATGTAATTTTATTTTATCTTCTGTGCAATAAAACAGTTTAACTATAACTTGTTACTATAAATCTATAAAGAGTAAAGTGAAGAGTTTGAACTAATCTTAAAATCCAGCCCATCCTGTAAGCTTCTTTTGGGGCAAAGTACTATTTTCCAACTTCAGTATTTACACTACATATTAATGTAGTCTGCAGCACTGCAATATCCTATATCTTCAGTCAAAAAAGAAGCAGTTTGAGTTATAAATGGGTAGTTTACAAAGTTCAGCCTAAAACTTTTCTGGCTTTTTTTCATGTAAGTGTGGTACCATGGAAGAAATGAGACAGTGGTGTGTGATTGGTTTTCTTCCCCTTCCACTTCCCACTTGCTTGCCTCCTCCCCCCCCCAATGCACTTTTAGGAATGTTGAGTTTTTTAGGATACTTTTAACTCTACGTAGCAGAAGCTGAATTTCAGGGAATCAAGCTTACTTTGATAAAACTGAATTCTTATTAGATTTTTTTTTAATATATTTTACTTTATCAGATGCATTGTCTTTTAGCTAGAATGATATCTTCATATAATCTGATATAATGACTTGATGTTAATTGTGTACATGTATCTATTAAGATTCCTATGGGTTTTTAATCAGACTTTGAGAATAGTTAGTCTAAAGACTAAGGTAGGTGGGTCTTTGTTTTATTTTCATGTTTGACAGGCCATAACATTGGTATTCCCCTCTTTCATGAATGGAGGCAGCTAGATGGCTGTTTGAGTTTAGAGTTAGGATTACTTCCCGGGGGCATGGACCAGGTGGAAATCACTTCCTCAGATGTGAATTCTTCGCTGCTGTCAGGCTCCCCATGTAACAGGGATTTCCACAAGAACTTCACTGGCTTCCAAAATAGTTAAAAAAAAAAAAAAAAAAAATTAAGAGCAAAAAACTCTGGAATAATATGTTGGTTTTACATATATTTTAAAAGGGAGGGGGGGAAGGTAAAGGCTGAATCTTATTTTTGCTCATTACATATGGCAGAGATGACAAGGAATTTGGAAGATTTGTCCCATTTATCAGCCTTCCACCAGATTAAAGGAAATGTTCATGCTGAGCTGGCTCCGGAAGATGGTTTAAAGGTTATTTTCATTTGGTGCATAAGCAGGCATCGTGCCAAAAACAACTGACTACCTTAGTGGAAAGCTGTTACACAAATGTAGGCAAGGTCTGCATTACACCAACAGAAAGCTCCCTTATTGAAATTAAACTAGATCCTAAGTGCACTTTAACATAGTTTTCGGGTTCTTTTTTAAATTGTTTTGCATGTTCTCTACATTTTATTTGTCTATATGCCATCTCAATCATAGATCAAAAGCTAGACAGGGTATTCCAGACATCATTGTATAACTTTATAACTGTCCACAGGAACTGTCAACTGATGCAGGTGTTAATGACTTCAGCATTATGGGAGTATTATCAAAGATACTATGTTTGTAAAAGACAGAAGACGAATTTCAAAGATAAACTCTTTCCTTCTCTGAGCTAAAATCCTTGTCCTCCACCTGGGGTGTTGTGCCTTGGTTCAGTGACCAGCTTCTGATCCGGGTCAGGTATTCCTATGCTAACACACAAAGGTGTTCTGACATGAACTGGAACTGGTCCTTCATGAAAATCTGGTGCATGTCTTTATAAGAGTTGGTATCTCTGGAATATTTGTGCTCTGTTAGCTTTCAAATGTGAAATTCTGAGAGGAACACAAATTTGATAGCGTGGCTACAGTGTCAAAAAAGAATGAAGCTTAATTATTTTTTTTCCTTCAAACTTTTCATTTACCCACCTTCAGTAACCTCAGATTCTTATTATTCATGGGGCAAAAGCTGGCATATGTAGTGGCTGGTTCTGAGCTAAGCATGTGTGATTTTTGCTATCAATTTTTGCTAGGTCCTAAAACAGATGACTGCTGGAGCTAACAGCTTGCCTTTTCTCTTGTTCATGTGGCTCTTTCATCCTTTCATTTTTTACAAAAATTCAAGGAACTTCATATCCTTGAGATCTTTGGTCTGCCATACTTGATTGAAATTGTAGATTGAAAATTTCCACAAGTTGAAAGTTACTGGGAGAAAGATGGCATAGCAGTATAGTATTTTATATGGAAGTAGGGCTGAACCGGCTATTTGCTAAAGCCTCTGCAGCTGGAAGAGCCAAGGGATAACTACCTTTTGGGCTTATGACATGCTCCATAAGTGCTAGGACTATGAAGAATTGTTTGTATTCTGTACTACTGCTAACTATTTAGACTTA